AATACTACACAAGCAATAGGCATACAAAAGAGATAATGAAGCAAGTGCAACAAGGAGACCTCAAACAGGTAAATACCCTTAAACAAACATGAAAAATAGCTCAAAATAAACCTAGTTCTAGTTAGGGTCGGAGCCCAAAACAGCAAGCACAAGGAGCTAGAATAGCATGCAAAATATGGACCAAAGGGAGAAAAATAGAACTTACCCTTGAAGACCACTCTTTTGGCAACTCTTGGACCAAAGTGCAGCACTCTTAGGCTTGGAGAACACCCTCAAACTGCTGGAATGGAGGATGGAAGGGTGGGGCTATGGGTTGATGAAGAAAGGGGTGTAGAACTTAAGGGTTTTGAGCTTGGGATGGAGAGGAGAGAGATATAATGCAAGGGCCTTAGAGGGAATTTTGTAACCCTAATATCAAGCTAGAGCCTCTGATATATAGGCAAAAAGAGGGGGGAAATGGGGGGAAAAAATGGAGGGAAAACCAACCAATTTTCCCTCCAAAATGCAGCCCCCCGGATATAGAATCTGGGGGGAAAATGAATGCACTGCTGCACTGTAGATGATGTGAGGATCCTGGCGGCCAGTTATCCAGGTTGCAGGTGGGCGGCCGGCTACTTCCATGGCGGCCGGCCAAGGGTCAAAAGGGTCAATGAGAATTAATGGCCGGCCACCACAGAGAGAGAGCCTCTGATGTGTGCACAACACAACCATGTAGCTAAACACTGGAAATAGTGAACCAGGAGAGAGAACAACCCACTTTTCAAAGGGGTTCAAAAGGTTCAAAAGCAATTACTGGCCGGCCACCAAATATTGGTGGCCTCCCAGATGTGTACATCACAAATATGGGGTTTAGGGTGCAAGAAAATGGCCCAAGGGTGGTCAACATTGGCTTTGAAGTGAGAAAAAACGGGCGACGGAGGGCGATGAAGGGATAAATTTGTTTGACAGAACAATTACTGGCCTCCCACCCTTCTACGGCCTTCTTACCAATGAAACAGAGGTCCCTGCCAAAAATGAACCAAAACCAATGCAGAATGAAGGTTCGGGGGCCGAAACACGTAGTTTGGGGCCCCGAAAACGGGCTGTTAAGCACCGGGAGTGGTGTTCGACCACGAAGTCGGTCTCTCGGACCACAGTGTCCCTCAAAAGGGAGCAAATAAGAAGTTTGCCAAAAATCGGGGCAAACGGAGATGGTTAAGCGATCCCGAATCGAGACACACGACCAACGATTCCGAAAAATCGGGAACCGGACCCCAAACGGGCAAAAATGGCCTATGACCACAAAATGTAGCCTACGGCCACTGAGAGATGATCTACGAGACCTCTCCCTCACTTCGGGAAGAGAAACAGAGAAAATTGAGCCTGGTTCGCAAACCGAGGCAAAGCATGAAAGAGTCCGGAAGTCCGGAGGCAAGGCTTGCAGCCGAGACTCTGAAACTTCTGAACGAGCACAATATGCAATATCACCAAGCACTCAACTGGTGACGTCTGAGTCTCAAGGTCGGTAAAAAATGGGGTGTCTACAACCCCCCCCCAAAACCAAAAATCCCTAATATCTCTCTCACTCGATCGACGACGAGCAGCGGCAGACGACGGAGAGCGGCAGACGAGGATGAGCGGCAGCAGACGACTGTGAGCAGCAAACAAGACTGCTGTGTGAATGGAAAGGGCTCCGGAGTGTAAGAGCAGCAGCAGCATTGGAGAAGGAAGAGTAGCGTCGGAGCAACAGCAGCGTCGGCCTCCTCTTCCGCCACCTCAACATCTCTTATGTCTTTCTTTCTTTACTCTTTACTCATTTCTCTCTCTCTCTCTCTCTCTCTCTCTCTCTCTCACACACACACACACACACATACACACACACACATGTTTATACATACATACATACATACATACATACATACATATATGCATTAGTTCATGTTTGACTTCCAATTCAATTTATCAAATTTTTGAAATACTCCAATTATCTATGTTGATGCCCTAGGTTTTGCAACTTTTTTTAATTCCCCCAAACCTAATACACACACACACACACACACATTAATCTGTTACCGAACAATTGTTTTAGAAATTGTAATAAACTAACTAGCACAACTATTTTAATACTCTCTGCATACAAAGTGTTCATCCACATTGAATTGAAGCTTGATAAAAATATTCATTGCCCTTTTTAAGCTCTAATTTCTTCCTTTTGCCATGGGGCGGTTTGGATTGTGCGCCAAAGGGGGCAGCTTGGATTGTGCGCCAGAGGGGGCAGCTTGGGTGGTGCGCCAAAGGGGGCAGCTTGGATTGTGCGCCAGAGGGGGCTGCTTGGGTGGTGCGCCAAAGGAGACAACTTGGGTGGTTCGCATGGTGTATAACCATGCTCACCATAATATAGATATAATACCCCCCCTCAAACTCAAATAGGTTTGAAGCTAGAAATCTATTTGAGGTTGGAACAAAGGGAACAAAAGTACAAAAAAATGGATTGCGAATAAAAAACAAAAAAAAAATATGATAGAGATATTTAGGGTAGAAATAAATCAGCGGATAAAGGAGGAGATAACCACGAAGCAAGGAAAAGATAACCACGAAGCAATACTGAAAAGAAAATATAAAAACGAAGTAGGTTGAGGTCCAGTGGGTAGCCAAGGCAAGGCTGCCGCCCGCCGATAAGGCGAAAAACGCCAAGAACTTAACTTATAGCTCTGATACCATGTTAGAATAGTAAAGAGAGAGAGAGAGAAATAATATGTATTGTATTAAATATATTGTATTGAATGAATTGTAATATATAACAGAAAGCCTATTTATATAGGCTAAGAAAGAGTATTCTACTAAAAATCTAACTATGAGAAAAAGTATCATATAAGAGACTTAACTATAACAATGCTTAATATATCTAGGAAATCAATACCTAATATATATAGAAATATATACCATATATACATTAACATTTATGTTCTTCAATAACTCCCGTATCATCTATGGCATATTCATTCCAACAAACTTCTCTCCACTTGCAATTAAGGCCAAGTTTGGGGACTTTAAAAAAAGTCAAAAAGTCAAAAAGTTATTTAAAAAGTTAAAAAGTTAACACTATTCACCAAAAGTCAACAATTACGGCTGCACAACTCTCAATTCAAATTTTTCCCTAATATATATAGAAATATATACCATATATACATTAACATTTATGTTCTTCAATAACTCCCGTATCATCTATGGCATATTCATTCCAACAAACTTCTCTCCACTTGCAATTAAATCTTCATCTATTTATGTTACTTTGTATCAAAAAAAAAAAAAATCAACAATCAAACAATCATGTTTTATAATAAATGAAAAAATTATAATCAAATAAAAACAATACCTACATAAAAAATAAAATTAAAAATCAAGAATTGTATTTTATTATAAATGAAAAATTATAAAACCAAATAAAAGAAATACCTTCTTTAGGAGACTCATTTAAGTTAAAACAATTTGTTGAAATACAATGAGGAATCTCACTTGTAATCAAATCTTTATCCATTGTTGCTATAAAATTACAAGAAGAATTTAAAAAATAAAAATAAATAAATAAATAAGAAATTCAACATCATATCTCAATATATATATGAATTAAACAAAATGATAGTAACTTTCCCTTCTTGAGTCTCTTTTTGCCCTCTTTATGTATTTTATCTAACTTTCCATCTTGCTATGAAGAAAGCAGAACTTCAGCTGCAGAACGTGGTATTGAGGAAAAGCTAAGGAAAATAAGTCGAAAAGTTTTTAGAATGGTGGGAAATGAAAAGAAAAAACTAAAGAGACAAAATAAATAAATAAATAAATAAGGGTGTTTTCATCACCTTAATTTTTTTACAACCACACATACATTAATTTTACTATTTATTATGATGGTGGAGTTTGTTACAGATATTTAATACAATAAATAATGTTTATGTAAATTTGTTACATTAATTTTACTATTTATTACGATGGACTGGGTTGTGATGTTCGGGCTAATGGGGTTCACCACTGGTCCTGTTTTGGTGATCCAAATTGTTTAATACATTAATTTGTTACATTAATTTTACTATTTACTACGATGGACTGGATCGTGATGTTCGGGCTAATGGGATTCACCACCGGTCCTGTTTCGATGATCCAAATTGTTCAATGTGTAAAACTCGTCAAATATTTCATTTTTACAAAAAATCACATTGATTGGACACTTGATCCATCAGATTTCTGTCAACAATTTATTTTACAAATCATATTTACCGTTGATAAAAATTTGATTTGATTAAGCGGCTGTTGATATTCGATTAACATGATTTTTTGTAGGAATGAAGTACTCGACGAGTTCTATATATTGAACGATTCGGATTATTGAAACAGAACTCGTGACAAGCTACCACAAGCCTAACAACACGCTCCAGTCCAATCTCGAATTAAAAAAAAGCCTGGCCCAATCATGAATAGTGATTTATTAGCAGAGGTAACACGTCTAAAAGGTGTAATGCATAGTCTTAATATTGTTGTTCAAGCTTTATATATAAGAATGTAATAAAACTGGGAGTAATATGAGAGAATAGAAAGACCGGGGTCGCTATACTCCAGTCCAATCTCGAATTAAAAAAAAGCCTGGCCCAATCATGAATAGTGATTTATTAGCAGAGGTAACACGTCTAAAAGGTGTAATGCATAGTCTTAATATTGTTGTTCAAGCTTTATATATAAGAATGTAATAAAACTGGGAGTAATATGAGAGAATAGATTGAAATAAGGAAGAAACTAAAAAGACAACAGATTTAGATAATATATCAAAGGTGAAAAAGGTAACTAGCCATCTCCATATATGATGATAATCAGCTAGCTACTGGGTACAAACACTACAATGTAACTAATAAATTACATGAGCTCTCCTGCTAATGCTGACTGATCATGCAACAATCACTCAGAAAACAAGAATAAATGGCTTTTATTTCTATAAATCTCTCGATAACCATAATACAGTCTAAAGAAGTCACTCAGATGGAATGAGGAGGTGGTGCAGGCTTGCGGGGTCCATGTCCATGTGACTTCTGTGACGGAGTTGGAGCCGGAGGCAACACCTTCCGCGGTGGCTTGTGGGAGTATCCACCATGCTCCAGGGGAGGGTTCGCCACTGGAGAGTGTGCGGGGTGGTGACCATGGTGGTGGCCATGAGTTTGGGGCTCTACAGGAGGGTGTGCCACGGGAGAGTGAGCGGGGTGGTGACCATGAGTTGGTGGCTTCTTTCCCTCGGGAGATTTAGCTGGGGTCGGTGCTTTGTGCCGATGAATGGATTGCTCGAGGAAATCTGCGAGTGAAGGAGTGGTGAGAACCACCACGGCAAGTAACAACACTATCAAGCTCTTGGGAGACATTTTTGAACTTGATAGCTTGGTGAAATACTTGATGATATTGCGTGAAGAAAAATGCTTTAGAACTTTAATTTTTGAGCTCTGAAGGTATCTCTAATGAGTTGGCAGTGGACTTTATCCAGAGTGATATGATGTTTTGATCTTAGTTTGTTTTTATTTTATTTTTTTTATTCATTGTCATGTCATTAGTACTCTATTAGAACACCAAAATTAGTGGTCTAAATCATTACTGATTGCGTGAAATGGTGTGGCCTTTTATAATGATTTGGACGTGTAAAGGTCTAATTAAAGAGAAATCTCCTTTTGTGATAGTGGAAATTACATAACTAAGTTGGTGAGAAATCAGAGATATTACTAGACCCAACAATAATAGACCCTAATTAATAATGAATATTGTTATATGTATTAGTTAATATATTAATAGATAATGTTGTATAATTTTAGAGATTTTGAGTATTTATAATTTATATAATAGGTGAGGGCCAGTGATAATAATATAACACTAGGTGAAAAGTCATTTAATAGACTTGAATAGATTTCTAAATAATTCTTCACATATGTCATATTTGATTGTATAATTCACATTAGAAATCAGGTCGACATTGAGACTATATTTTCATATTGCATAATTGTTTTTATTGTTGTAGTTAGGGGTCGTCTTGGCTCAATTGTCCGCTCAAACTAATATTTTTAGGATTTTAAAAAAATATATTAAGCTTATAAGATAGGATTGAGGTGAAATTTTGTGCCCATTTAATTTGGGTTGAATTTAGGATAATATTTTGTGCCCATTTAATATTTGGGTTGGACTTAGAATAATGGGCTTTAGCCCAACCCAGTCTTATATTAAAACATTTATTAAAAAATCATATTGATTTTATCATTAGATTTTGTTAATGTTTCAAATTCAAATAATAATTAAAATGATCTAAACAATTAACATTCTACCAAAAAATAATAATAATAGCCTATATCTATTGGGTTAAGTAGATGGATTTGGAATTTAACAGTTTTTTTTTAGTACTGGGCTTGGAATGGCACCTTTAGGCTTGATATTGGGCCCAGTTAGATTTGGGATGACACACCTCTTCTTATAATATAATCCAAGTCCAGCTCAAGATTTGTCCACCCTTAGTTATATTAATCGTGGAAACGCTAAAAGTTACAAATTTCGAATGAATTTATTTATATATTTATTTATTTTTATATATATCTGGGTATCCGCCAATTTGGGCTCACCTCAACTAATATCAAGGTCTTAAGTCAATGACTGGGTAAATTTTTAGTGACCCCTTGGAATGATTCAAAGTCAAGATTTTGAATTTTATCCTCAAGTCTTTACCGATTGGCCAAATCTTTAGGATCCGTTTGATTAGAAATAAATAAATGACGAAAGGTGAAAATAATAGAAAGTGAAGTAAAAGAAAGGGAAAGGAAAATAAAATATATTTTCTTGTATGAATTTGAGTAGGATGAAAATTTTACAAGGAATAACTAACTACTTTTATAACATATTTAAATTTTCTTATATTTTCATGCGTTTTTTGCAAGAAACTATAAGCTTATTTACCATGCTATTATGAGTTGTACAAAAAAATTAACTTTCTTATAACTTTCACCATTTTCATGCTAAACAAACTGAAAAACAATATTATTATTATTTTTCCATTTCGTTCACTTTCTACCATTTTCATTCTAACCAAATTGGGCCTTAGAGTTCTATATTTAATTGTATAATTGTTTTTATCATCGCATAGTTCACACTAAACAAAATAATTAGATAATTGCTCTAATTAAAGAGCAAACTCTACTGGAGCGGGGCAAATTATTTTATAATGGAATAGTTTAGTACAGATTATTTGAGTTATTTATAATTTTTTTTTTTTATTTTGTCAAATTATGCAGTTTTTACTTAAAACTTATTAAGTAAAAATAACTTCAAAAAATTGAAGAAAAAGGTAATTGTTTAAAAAATAGAAGAAAAGTTGTTTTAGCCTCTTCTTTTAAATTGTAAGTTTTTAATTTACCATAAATTGCACCAATAAAATGTCTTTATATAAGCTTTTACCGTATTTCATTTCAAGGGGAAATTATATTTCAGTCCAACTTTTCAAAAATAATTACAAAATTATGAAAAATTTTATGATTTTAATTATTAATATTTATAAAGTTTATTATTGATTTGTAATTATTTTTTTCTAAAAAACACCGATTTGATATTTTTCCAAATTTCAACAGTTAAAATAATTACAATTTGATTACAATGAGGAAGGAAAAATTAGTAAAACATTACTCTCCAACTTTGTATAGTAGGAGAGGTTCAAGATTTTTTTTTTCTATTAGTTAAGTTCCTTCGATGAAATTTCTCTGTGAAATTAAAAAAAAATTTCTTTGTGTCAGGGCCCAAAAATTTCTCTGAGTAGAGTCAGAATTTCTCTAAGTTGCGCACAAATTTCTCTGAGTATGGACAGAATTTCTCTGTGAAAATATTGATGGACTCCAACTATTATGAAAATATTATATATACTTTATCTTATAAAATCTTAATATCATGAACCTTAAAAAAAATTCTCCTATAATATTTTAGTCCAATTTTTCAAAAATAATTACAAAATCATGAAAAATTTTATAATTTTAATTATTAATATTCATAAACTTTATCCTTCATTTATAATTATTTTTTCTAAAGAAATATCAACAGTTAAAATAATTACAATTTGACTGCAATTTTCAAAAGTCAGCCAATCACAAGTGAGAAACACAGAAACGCCTGAGCCTCCGTTTGGGAAGTGGGTTGGCTTTTTGGCTTTTTGACTTTTTTAGCCTGGGCTAAAAAGTATGGTTTGGAAAGGACTTTTTGGCTTTTTTTGCTTTTTTTGTGAGAGGAGAGTATAATGATTATGGGTTGGATGTGATGTTTTGTTTGTTGTAGCTAAAATAGCCTATTTTATCTTTTGTAACTAAAATAGCCAAAAAAACACTTGCCAAACGGAGCCAGTCGGCTGGCACGTGCACTTTCAACCAAAATGAATAACTAATTACATTAAAAGTTAATTACACTTTTCATTCTTCTAATTTCATTTAAAATTTACTTTTGTCCCTATAATTTTAATTTAAAGAATTTAATTTTTTTCATTTTAAATCTAATTTTAATTTGATTTTTCTGTCTAAATTGAAAGTTAAAATCAACAATTTCTAGACATTTTTAATTTGAATAATTTAATCTTTACATTTTAAGTCTAATTTTAATTTGGTCTTTCTGTCTAAATTGAAAGTTAAAATTAATAATTTCAAGACATTTGTCAATTTTATAAGGTTTCAATTTGGTCCCTTCATGTAAATTGAAGGTTAATTTTGAGACACTTGTTAATTTTCTAAGACAAAATTAATAAAAATTTAAATGAAATGACCAAATTAAATGAAAACTTAAAATGTAAGGATTAAATTATTTAAATTAAAATTATAAATATTAAAATAAAATTTAAATCCAATTATAAGTGTTAAAAATGTAATTAACCTTTAATTAAACAAGCATGCCTACAAATAGCATCCTATTCCTTCCCCACATACATGCTCACAAAATCTTTTTAAAAGTAGATTCTATCTTTTTTTTCTTTTCTTCTGTTTTTTAGTGATTAAAATATTAAACAACATGGATTTCCTCAATGTGAACTGGACTATTGAGTTGACTTTATATAATTTATTACAAATTTCATTTCCATAATTTAATCTATTTAATTTGTAAATGTCAATGTACATATTGTTTTTAAAAAAAATTAAATTGATTATAATTATAATTACATTTTTTATATATATTTCCTTCTTCAAGAGAATATACAATAAGAATAATGTTTAAAATAAATCACCATTTTTGTATAGTTATAATTTTTTTTTATAGATAATATATACATAAAAACTTACAAAATGAAAAAATAAAATTATCAAAATAGGAATAATGGTAGGCCGCACTGTCCATTTGGATAGTCCAATCTATAAATGTGAACTACAAAATGTTGTGCTCAATATTAAAATATAGTATATAGTAGATCTTCTTTCAATTTTTTATTATTAAACACAAAATTAATAACTCTCACCAATATTTATTAATATAAACTACATATTGTGTGACTAATAAAAAAAATTATATATTGCATTACTTAAAAATATACTAATTGTAGCGTATGATTGTCGTTAGCTATATATCAGTTTACAAATAACAAAATAATCTTTTATGAAATGAAAAGTTTTACATTATTTTATATAAATTTAATCTCAACCAGTTAATATCAGTACATTAGTGTACAAACAAACACAATTTATTTTACTTGTCCAACCTAATACCACAGTAGTTTTCTTATCACTCAATCTTACCGTACTCATAATTTCATCCAACCTAATCTAACAATCAAGCATGGCTTCCATATCTTGACAAGTTAGTGTAAAATGCAATCTAATTTTCCACGGCCTAATTTATTCTCTAACATTGAAAAAGTACAACTATTTTAAAAGTGATTTATCTTAGCATCTCGGACTAATGAAAAAACCATGACCACAGAGGATTAAAGGGGCCAAACAAAGAGGCCCTACTCGGACTAACACTTAATTCACATTGCATTTTTCCAATTTTTCAACTCCAAGGATAGAAGTAATAATAAATTGAACTAATTCTTATTCTTGTTATGAGTGGTGTACATGTAGAGTTCCACAGGAACTTATATCTACTCGTAAAAAATAATAGTCATACATAAATATGTTTTGCATCTCAAGAAAATATTAAAAAAAGGGCTTCAGAAATAAAATTAGTAATCCAAGTTTATTGTGTGACCAGTACCACATTAAATTTAAATACGTACCAAAGTCTTTATTGCGTAGCTTTTCTGCATTGACATATGTGTGTTTAAATTGCAATTTGATAATCAATAGGATTAATCCATTAATCAAAATGTTACATTTCACTAGGATGTCTGCGTTAAATATTTTCATTTGTGTATGGGATATTATTT